ATGGGAGGATGGTCTAGAATGACAGGGCCGTTAGGACTCAGCCGACCGTTTTTGCAACAGTGCGGGCGCGTGACAGATGGAGGAGATTGTGTATGTACGAATGGATGTATAGACAATGCAGAGTCTGCGACTTGTGCGAGACAGCAGAAATGTTCAACAGGCGGCGAGACGGCATGTTTACGAGCAGCTGGTTTCATCTCCGGCCCGTCAACAAGGAATCTGGCCTGGCTGCAGGGGCAACGGGCAACGGAGGCCAGGATGCTCCATGAGACGTCACTGGCCAAGCCTCCACCCACCATCCACCCACAGACTGCAATTCCACCATCGCCAGGCTGCCCCAAAGCTGCAATCCCGCCCATGGCCGTTGACATCACCGATCCCCAGGACATCTTTGCTGCTGCCAGCGTGGCCCAGATCCATGCTGCTCTCAGCCAATTGCATGACCATGAGGCCGCCGTGACGCGCCAGCTAAACGCCCTCATCGCCTCCCAAAAGGACCTCTCCCGTGAACTCGGCCGTCTGGATCTGCTGCGCGCCCACCTCGGCACTCAGACCGTCAACACGCGCGCCATCAGTAATGGCATGCTGTCCGATGCTGCTTCTACTGCCACTCGCATCTCAGGCGCCGTCAAACGGCTGGACCAGGAGCAGTCCAATGTCAAGGCCACGTTGCACGTCGTCGAGCAGGTGGCCGAGCTCAAGGCCTGCGTCCTGGGTGTCCACGGCTCCATGGGCGCGCCCCAGGACTGGGAGACGGCCGCAGGTTACCTCAGCCGTGCTGCAAAGATCCCCGACGATGTCGTAAACGGTAGTTTCGCAGAGGAAATTGTGCCCACGGCCGAAGTGCCAGACCCCCCGCGTGTGACACTTGACGCTGCTGCCGAATCCCTCTGCGGTCTCTTTTTGCGCGAGTTTGAAAAGGCTGCCAAGGATGGTGACGGCTCAAAAGTGACGAGATTCTTTAAGCTGTTCCCCTTGATTGGCAGGACAGACGTTGGCTTAGATGCGTACGGCCGCTATGTTTGCCAGGGTGTGGCTTCAAGGGCGCGCGTAAACTTCAACTCGGCCTCGCCAGCCCAGAGGAACGAGGGCTACTTCTACGGCAACACCATCACCAAGCTGTTTGAGCACATTGCGCAGATTGTAGATGGACACGAGCCGCTAGTAGAGCGCCACTATGGCCCGGGCATGATGCAAAAGGTTATTGAGCGTCTGCAGATTGAAGCCGATCTCCAAGGCGGCATCGTGCTCGACACATGGCATGAAGAGCGTCACATTGACCGCAAACTGACCGATATCAAATCGTATGCATTCTCTTTCCTAGTCCAAAGTTTCCTCCCAGCCCAAAAGCCTTCTTCTGGGACTCCTCGCGCAAGCTCACCAGCCAATGGCGTGGCCCGCACAAGTGAAGACGAAGGCGTCGACATGAAGGAGATTGACGCCCTGCTCGGCGAAGGTGCCCTCATACTAGGCCGCTACGCTCTGTATGCTCGCTTCATCTCCGACAAGTGTGCGGTAAGTACAACATGTCATCGTTGCAATCCATTACTCATGCATACAGCCCGCTGAGCCTGAAGAACACATCGACTATGGCTTGGTCATGCCCAATTTCCTAGCGACCAGCAACCTCCACAAGAAGGTCAACAGCCACCTCATTGAGCCAGTCAACGCCATGACGACCTTTTTCTTCCGCAGATCAGTAGAGAAGGCCTTCCAGCTGGACGAATCACCGTCTGATCTCACTCTGAACCCAAATAAACCCCTTGGTTCCAATCCACCCTTTATCACGTCGGCCGTTGACGACGTCATGTACATTGTCAACCAGGTTCTGCAGAGGACGCTCGCCACGTCCCAACGGGCCGTTGTGGGTAGTGTAGTTCCCGCCGTAAGCCATATCCTGGGCGCCGAATTTATCGGTATGATACAAAGAAAGATGCGAGACGAAAGCTACCCCAAACCCGTCATCCAGGGCGGACTCCCACCCGAGGATAAGGTTATTGCCTTTTTAGTATTGATCAACAATCTCGATATTGCCAACGACTATGTCAAGCGCATAGTTCAGCAGCAGCTGCGCATCCAACCGCAACCCGGCCAAGAAGACGCTCACTCCCCCTTGCAAGACCTTTTCCCGTTCGGACACGATGCAACCTTTGTCGAAAACACTCTCAAATCAATGGAAAAGTCCTTTGCAACCAAGAGTGGTGATTTGCTCAACGACGGTATCACGGTTCTGTTCTCCAATGTTCTCAAACCCCGCATCCGGCCAATCTTAGCCGAGGCCTTTAGGGATATCAGATATGACACTGGCGGAGAAGACGCAAACGATGACGAAGATACCGACGATACCGATATTGTTAAGTCTCGCTTTGATCGTGGCTGGGGTGTTGTTATTCGTCCAATCAAACGCATTCTCACCTCAGCAAACTTCGACCGTCTTCTTGCCCTTGGCCTCAACTATCTCGCTTCTGCACTGGAAAAACGTATCAAGAGCTATTATGGCAGAGTGAATGAACTTGGGGCGGTTCGGCTCGAGCGGGACATTGCGGGTATCATCACAGCCGCTACCAGTGGTGGTGCATATGCGCTTCGCGATGCGTTCCAAAAGTGCACGCAAATGACCTTGATCTTGAACATGGAAGATGACGAGTTTGAGCAAGTTGCGATTGATGACGCTGCTGGCGAATCAGGGATCTCCTGGGTGCTTGACCTTGAGGAGAGAAATAGGGTAAGAGCCATTGTCAAAGGATAGATTAAATGCAGCTGTGAACCTAGTTCAAGTTAGCGCTTATGATGAATGAACGTACAAACTTTGTCCGTCCGGGTTGACATGACCCGATAGTACTACCTGTCTACAAGAACCCAGAACCCCTCACCGGCTCGTGCGCCTTGACCACCCCGCTGTTTTATAGGGTTTTGCTTTTACTTTTGCCGACCCACTATCGAAGGAATCGCTACTATCTGTTTTGGATCAAGAGGTGTCACCCGCTGCGGCTTGGCTTCCAATATAACCCCTGGTGTCCCCAGTATCATGCGCCAAATACCGTCGTGATACGTTGCTTGTTCTTTTATATATACACGTATTCATCCAGTTTTCTCTAGCCACTCTCTTTCCACGCACATCATTTTACGCCACTCCCGTTGCCCGCTTGCGCGATGCGCCAGTCGCACGCAGCCGCCGTTTTCCCGTGGCTTTCGCTTCTGCTAGCACCCCTGTCAAGCGCCCAGTGCCCGCCCTACCAGAACTATGCCAACCAACGCCACGAACCCTTCTCCACAGGAAAATGGAGCTTGAGTTATGCGAGACCCATCGAGCCGTGTAGGACCTTTCGCGCCCCAGAGGTTGAAGAGACGATTGATAGATTGCGCAATGTGATTAAAGATCCCGATCTGTTCCGGGTACTGACTCGAGCTTAACTTTGTGGAAAACGAGTAGCTTACTGACGCTTCAAACAGCTCTTTGAAAACACATGGCCGAGCACACTGGACACTACGATTGCGTGGCGAGGACTCTCAAATAATGCCAACAATGGCACAAAGCAAGAGGAATTAACTTTTGTCATCACTGGCGATATCCAGGCCATGTGGCTGCGCGACTCGGCCAACCAACTCCAAGCCTACCTGTCCGTGTTGAAACCTAATTCTAGTCATGACAGTCTTGCCAGTTTGTTCCGTGGCGCCATCAACCTCCAAGCGCGCTACATTCTCGGAAACGCCTTTTGCAACGCCTTCCAAGCCCCGGACGAGAGCGGTATCCCGCAAAGAAGCAGCCAGAATGACGACCGCATCACTCCGCCGTACGACTACTTCAAAGTATTCTCTTGCCAATGGGAACTGGACTCTGTCGCCTCATTCCTCCAGCTCTCAACCGACTATGCAACCGCCACGCGTGACTACGAGTTCTTCCAAAACTCCAGTAACTGGACCAAAGCCGTCGAGCTCATCCTGGACACGACAGAGAGCATGATGATCGACAGCTACTCCGCAGACGGCGTATGGCAGCACACTCCATACACGTACTGCGCACCCTACGGCGGCACACCCATCAATGACTGCAACGGCAGCCCCCACCGCGGCAACCTCGGCCTCGTCCGCTCCTTCCACCGCCCCAGCGATGACGCCTGCACCTACCAATACCTCATCCCCTCCAACATGATGTTCTCCTCCGCCCTCAACACTTCCTCTGCCATAATGTCGCGCGTAGAAGCCTCCTCAGCCGGTACCCTGACCACCCGCATGCAACAAATGAGCACTGGCATAAACCGCGGCATAGAAAAATATGGCCTAGCAAACGACCCCACCCACGGCAAAATATACGCCTACGAAGTCGACGGCTACGGTGGCGCAAATATAATGGATGACCCCAACGTTCCGTCTCTTTTATCAGCTCCGTATATAGGATACACCACGATCCACGACCCCATTTACAAAAACACAAGAAACAAAGTCTTGTCCAAAGATAATCCTTATTATGCCGTTGGCCCTGCGATTACGGGAGTAGCAAGTCCGCATACGCTTCCGGGGAAGCCATGGCCCATGGCGCTTATCATGACGATTTTGACCTCGGAGGATGATGAGGAGATTACAAAGAATCTGAGGTGGTTGATTTCAAGTACGGATGGGCTGGGACTCATGCATGAGAGTGTGGATGCAAGGAATGCGGGGGTTTGGTCAAGGCAGTGGTTTAGTTGGGCGAATGGGTTGATGGGGCAAATGATTTTGGATTTGGAGAAGAGGAAGCCGCATCTTTTGGAATTGTCGTTTCAGTAGCTGGGTTGGTTGGTTGAGTAGAAATGTAATTTCTTTTGTCGTCTGGCTATCTCGATGTATATAAAATGAATGGGTTGGCCCGTGTGAAGTCTCGGTGCAGGTGAAAGTGAATTGCCGAGTCCTGTTTCATCCGATACGAGTCAAGTTTGAAGGCTAAACAAAAAAAGAACTGATATACCGCATACATGCCATTGCCTGTAGGCATGGAGACAGTGAGAACAAAAATTGAAGTTTGACCTAGCCGAGGTTTGAACTCGGGACCTTTCGCGTCCGATCTAACATCAGATGATGAATGTGAGGCGAACGTGATAACCAACTACACCACCAGGCCGATTTGATATGAAATGAAAACTTTATAAATTATATAACCAGCAGCAAAACGCGTCGATCGTCTACGAACTAGGATGAAATAGTGGTATGCGGGGCACATGCTTACCCCTCCTACCTTCCTCAAACTATCAAGTAATAATCAACAGCCTACCACCCGTCCCTGACCCACAACAAGTAATAGCGCAACTCCACCACCTTTAGTAACTTACCTCACTCGCAAGGACTCCCGCTTACCTGCATATCCACCCACCCCTCCCCCTCTCTCTTCAAAACCCATAACCATGTCCCACTCACACTCCATCAATTCTCTTCCTACCCGGTAATCCAACTCTCCTCTCCACACCATGTCAACACTCAATTCCCACCTCCCATGGACGTCCTCCCCTCTCCTCATCAACGCCCCAATGTTCGGTTTCGCAGGCGGCCACCTCGCAGCCACCGTCTCGCTCGCCGGCGGCCTGGGTTTAATCGGCGGAGTAAGAGATATGCACGAGGTACGCCGCGAACTCGATATCGCAGCCGAATTACTGGGCCACACGCGCGGAGAAGGGACGATGCGTGTAGGCGTGGGGTTTCTGCAGTTTGCGATGGAGATGGCCGAGGTGCTGGATGTGGTGCGGGAGTATAAGCCTGCAGTTGTGTGGCTGTTTGCGTCGAAGACGTTGGCGGGGTATAAGGAGTGGGTTGATGGTGTACGCGGGGTTTCGCCGGAGAGTCGGGTGTGGGTGCAGCTAGGGAGTGTAGCTGCGGCGTTGGAAGTTGCGAAGGGGGCAAGGCCCGATGTGCTTTGTTTGCAGGGTGCGGATGCGGGGGGGCATGGGTTTGAGAAGGGTGCTTCGATTGTTTCGCTGCTGCCTGAGGCGGCGGATGCGTTGGGTGCAGCGGGGTTTGCGGATATTGCTCTCGTGGCGTCCGGGGGGATTGTGGATGGAAGGGGGGTTGCGGCTGCGCTTGCGCTGGGGGCGCAGGGTGTGGTGATGGGGACGAGGTTTTTGGCGTCGAGGGAGGTCAAGATACATCCAAAATATCAGGCTGCGATTCTGGAGGCGCAGGACGGTGGACAGGTGACTACGCGGTCGAAGTTGTTTGATCAGTTGCGGGGTCCGAATATATGGCCTGAGCTGTATGATGGACGAGGCTTGGCTGCGCAGAGTCACAAGGATTTTGCGAGCGGGATGAGTCTGGAGGAGATTCAGAGATTGCACAACCAGGAAGCTGCAAGCGAAAACAAAGGATATGATACAGGACTACAAGGCCGTGCGGCGATATGGGCAGGTACAGGCGTGGGGTTAGTGAACCAAGTCCAGAGCGCGAGAGATATCGTGGAAAAGATCCGGAAAGAGACAAAAGATGTCTTGCTTCGAGTAGCAAATGTGTAAAATGAGAAGAAGTAGAGAGTAACAAGTTTTTGATGAAATTGAGTTTCCGATAGTCAATCAGAATAGTGCTACTGTGTGTTCGCAACCTTGATTGGTTGACTTATTAACATCCAACTATACAGGGGTGATGGTATGTTTTTCTATCGCTTCCATAATCTGCATGAAGTGGTTGTATCGTTCTGCTTTTGCCCTGATCAGCGCCGCCTTTCTATCCCCTGAAAGTTCCACTTCCCAATCAGGCCACGAAGCCAACCAACTGAAATCGTTGCCGACTTCAATTGTAACTACCCCTCACCTCTTCTACATGCCAATCTCACTAGTTTCCACAATCAACAATGCTTTGGAGTAGACATCTACGCATTCCCCAGGTGCATTCCTTTTCTTCAATAGCAAAGGTATAGCCAGTGCTTTCGTATCGTGTTTCTCGTAAATCTTAGCATCTGATAGTATGTCCCATATAGGATAGGCTCATACAAGGTCATGGCACTAGCTGTTATATCCGGTCATCAGAGTTTCAACAAATCTGATGTCACAAAGCCTCAAAACAGGAGCTTGGATTACGACGGCCGCTTCCGTGGCATCCCCAAGAATGATTGGCCCTCGTGTGTTGTACACAATCTTTTTGATCTTCGTATAAGGTATTTCCTCCAAAATACCATCGTTTCTGTTCACACACCACTCTACAGGGCCCTCAACTGATGTCCACGACCGGGTTGGCGAGCTGTCCAGTCCATGTTTATGGGCATGTGCTTTGGCCTCGTATCTATTCACAAATCATAAAAGATCATAGCGTAAGGTGTCCTCCCAAAATCCATGGATATATCTCTTCTTGCAGTCTTGCGCTTGTACTCGGGCTGCAAAAGCTGCAATGGCAGGCAACTTATCCTTCCCAAAGATAGGTTTTCGGCAAGAATAGGCCCTCATAACTTCATACCACGACAACCGTACTGGAACGGACCCAGCCCTCAAGTCTAGTTGCACAAGTCTTGACAAACTACATATCCTCCAGGAATCACTCTCACATTTTGAATCTGTTAGACAGTGCCAAATCAATTCCTCGCGGCCATAATGTATGACGCGTGGAGATAAGCTAAGCTCTTGGAATACCCAACCTCGCTTGTATAATGGAAACCCGTCATCTGATAACATATCCATAAATTCCTCCGGTTCACGAGGAACATGAAGTTGTTTCCGAACATGTACCTAGGGGTACTCAGGCAGAGGATAACCAATTTGCCGATCAGAAGTGTCATTGAACAGTCCCTCTTCCGAGTTTTGGGCGGTAACGGCCGCAATGATCACGTACGCGTTTCGATAGACATCCACCATACGTGAAGCTTATTCGTTCCAATCATGCTCGCTATTCTGGACGATGCATAAACTGTCAATCCATGAATAATGAATTCCAAGCTCTTTACAAACAATCACAGCATCCCGGTAAGTCTTTGGAAGATTCTCGATTAGGATTTCCAGATCAACGTGTATGGGCATATCTTCTTGTGTTGTTTTGAGGAGGTTCTCTCCATCACCCCAGCAGTGGCTCAAGCATGCGTATCGAGCTAGTTTTGACGTCTCCTCTAGTGTAAGTATATCATTGCAAATGCGGAGAAGCCTTATTCCTTCAAGTGATTCCAGGTTCTGATCCTTAGTATTGCAAGGTTCATGGTTCGATCCGCATTCACCTATCCACTTCCTTACCATGTCAAAGCTATCATTTGACGACATACCTTTGGAAAACACATTGGCTTGACATTTATTATCCAGAGTGTAGGTAATTTTAGATTCATCTAGTCGTCAGTCAGCCTTGCATCTCGAATCCATCCTATGAGTGCGCACCAAGACTTGGAATTATCCATTCAACGCATTAAAACCAAATAGAGCCACCGAAGCGACCAGCACCCTCTTTCTCCAGTCATATAGAATTTTGACCGAGCAGTGGCATGACCCCTAGTATCTTCATAAAGGACCTGCCGAGCGAAGCATATGCAAGCATATATCATAGGCAGTTTTTCCAAGCGGATTGAGAGAGATCACTTTCATGGTACCTGGGAACGAGAAGGCTGGGTTTCCCAACACAATGACTGCAGCTATGAGAGAGCAGATCCGCATGCGAAAACATCTTCGGTATACGGAAAACTAACTATAAGTTCAGAAGAGCGTGTAGGAGTGAGCAGGCTGTCAGGTAGAAGGATTTGGTGAGGCACAGCCTACGTGTCAAGCCGCTAGACTTGAACAAATACTAAGTAGCGCGGGACAGATACTACTTTGTGGCTGAAGGCATGGAAAGAAGGCTGAATATCATGGCACTTGTCACAAGAACAAACATACCTGCTGAGAAGTAGCGAGATATTACCTGGGGGATAAACAGTATAATTTTGCAAAAATATCATCTCAATTCATAATGTTTCCGTATTAGAAATACATAAGACAACCGATTTGTTGTTGACACTATTATTATACGTACAACCCATACCAACACTGCCAAACCCCTTACCAAGCTCATCAGAACCAAGGTGTACCCTCATAAAACATTGCTCACCAAAAAAAAACAAATGCCCCAATCATCAATAGCGATAGAAAAAAAAGGGGGTATCCCAAACGGAAATAAAGGAATATAAACGACCACAGATAACAGTTATTAAGTTCTTGACGACCAACCCCACTCTCAAACAGCCCACACACCAACGACGCCAACTACCACACTCAATATACTCGCCAGATATGGTATCTGTACGCCCCGCGACGCGGCGCCGGTGAATGGCACAATGCTTGTCTGCACCACAGGTAGGGCGCTCGCATTGGTTGGGACCAAAAACCCGGGGGCTTCGCTGAGCGTAGCTGCTAGCGATGGGAGCGGGCCGCTCATGAAAGGTGGTGGTGGTGGCGCCACGGAGGCTGGCGATGGTGTTTGGGATGCGGATGGTTGACTTGAGACGATTGGAGTTGATGTTGCGATGGGTGAGGATTGAGAGGAGGCCGAGGAAGTAGCGGGAGTGGATTCCGATAGGGTAGAGTCCGAGGGAGAGGCAGTAGAGGACTTGGCGGGAGTGGAAGACGACGGAGAGACAGCGGAGGAGATAACAGTGGAAACGGCGGTGGAAACGGCGGAAGAAACAGTGGGAATGGAAGACGGCGAAGGTACCGCGGACTCTTGGGACGATGAAGTCATGGCGGGAGCAGGCGAGGAAGTCGAAGGTGCAGACTCCTCAGATGAAGTGATAAAAGGAGGCGAAGAAGAGGCAGGCATGGACTCTGATGTAGACATAGACTCTAGTGTAGACGTGGACTCTAGTGTAGACGTAGACTCTGGCATAGACATGGACACTGGTGCAGACGGAGTCTCAACAGGAAGTTCAGCTTCCATAGATGAAGTCTCCGCCATACTAGTTGGAGCAACCGCCTCTGGAGTAACTGTTGAAAAGAGAGTGAAAGAGAATCTAGAATCTAGCGTCGGTGCTTCGGCGGCTGACGTCGTACTCGTCCTTGAGATCTTGTAAGTAATGTAGGACGTTGTGGTGATTACGCTAGTCGAACTGCTTTCGCACGACGTCGACATAACGGGAATGGGATAGTTGATCATCGCCGTCGAGTTGGAATTGACGTAAGAGCTTGCGAGCGCAGCGCTGCTGCTGCTGCTGCTGGCCATTATGGTGGTCGAAGCCGGTTCCGAAGGCACTGGGTAACTAGCGCTAGTGTAACTAGCGGAAATGTTTAGATACGGGGCTGTAGATATACTCGCATTAGTCATGCTGGTCTTCGCACTCACGTCTGGGGAAGCTGTATAGCTTGGGGTAGTTGAACAGCTTGTACTGGCTGAATCATCAGGAGCAGCTGTATATGCAGGAGCCGTGTAGACTACACTGCTTAGAGCGGTAGCAGCAGGCATGGATACCGTCGAAGAGATCGTGTAATTCACCACTGGGGCTGTGTGGACTGGCACATCCGTAGCATTCGCCGGAGCCTCCGAGGTGATGTATTCGCTCACAGTCGGGGGCGCAACAACCGGGGGCGCAGGAACGACAATACCCGATGCATCATCGAAAGCAGTCTCTGGCGACTTGCATTCCGAGACGAGAGGGAATTCCGCCTTGAAAATGTTTTGTGCAACCCCGACGGCGTTGAAGGGTGGTGGCAGGATGGGAATCGAGACGTCAAAGCTGAGATCGCAGGAAATGGAGACGTTGGCTTCAACCAAGGCGATAGGACCCAGCCGAATAAGATCAGGAGACAACTGCGTCGTGCTGTTTGCATCTGGTGCAGATGGATCAGTGGCGCTGTCGCCACTACCACAGTTCTCAGCAATGTTGGTCGAGAGCTTTGCATCCAGGCGAGGTAGGTCCAAAGTAGCAGTGACCTCCGCTGATAACTGGCCGAGGAAGTCGAAACCAACTGGGATGGCGGGCTTGAAGGCAAGACCAAGGGTGACATCAACGTCTGTAATGTTGACAGTGACGGGCAGGGGAGTAAGAGTGGTGTCCTGGAAACCAACAAGACTGCTGCTACCGAGGTCGGTGAGCTCGATGCGAAGCCTAGAGTTGTCAGGCACATTGAGTTCGAGTCCGTAGTTGACCTCAAGCCCGCCGCTGACTTCGAATTCAAACGCGATTCTGGGTTCGAAGACAGCACCTGCATTTCCGATTCCGGGAATGACAAATCCAGCGATAGGGAGTTGAATTAGAGCAATTTCGAACTCGCCGTTGGCAGATGGTCGCGCAAACAGATCCAATCGCGCACCCACGCCAGTAGCTACAAGCTCCACAAAACCGCCCGAGATAACGCTCGCGATCTCTTTTCCGTCGTCACCTCCCTGAAAGATGTCGGGGATCAGGTCGATTTGCGATAGGTCAATGTTGAAAGCACCCTGGTTGAGTGCCAACTGTCCAGTGGTAGCACATCGCTTGCAGCCAATCTCAATGGGAACGGCGATGGGCAATTCAGGAAGGGGAACTGCAGCTCCAAGGATTTCAAGGAAATCTTCAGAGGCAAAAGTCTTGTCGACTATCTCGGAACTCAAGTCGAAGAGAGCAGTGTTGACGTCTTCTGATACGTTCTGGGGAATAGCAACCCTGTTCTGGCGCTTGCTCCGGACCATAGCAAAGTCGGCATGGCGACGAACGATGTGGTCATCAGTGGTGTGACCGAATGTCACGTTCATGCGGTCAAAGGCCTGTCGCCATGTTGTCTTCTTAACGGATAAGTCGAGTGCTTCTCCATCCTCGGCAAAGGATACATCGGTGACACTAGGATTGTCAGGGTACGATCTTTTAAAACAAGGTGTAACTTACCGGTAAACTTCACGCTCGCCTTCGTCGTTGCAGCTCTCGTGCGAAGTGATGATCAAGCCACCGTCCTCACCATAGGCGGCTCGAGCATCTCGGGCAGACGAGGCATCAACGAAATGTAACTTCATAGCATCGTTGCCACACTCGACGGCCTTCAAGTGATGCTCATGCTCTTCGAGGGTGAATACTGGCCTCTGCGAGCTGACCTTGACCTGGGAAGCAAAAGTCGATGCATCGCTCCAGACATTCTCATCTAATCAATCGTTAGCCCGGGTACGCATAAACCTGAGTAAGCAACCTACTCTCTACATAAGCCATCTCCGTCTCAAATCTTTTGGTAATGCGAACACTTCTTCGATATAGATCGGACCGTTTCGTCGCGGCCCTCAAGATGCGTTGCGGTTTGGCTTCCAAGCCGCGCTCTGCAATCGCATCGACATTATTCCCCAACGTCGCAACAACGACGACAAGTGCGTGTAGAAAATGCATATTGGCGCGCGCCGTAAGAACTCAAGAAATCCAAAGAGGCGTTAGAAAGATTCCTTGAAGCGATGACTCTTGCACAAACCTCAACCTCGACGTAACTGAAAAGAGAGACAGTGGTGGTGTAACAAAAAAAAACAAAAGGCGCAACAAGGCCGATACAGAAGATCAAAAAAGGAGTGACTGAGACCAACACAAAAGCTATTGTGCAAAAGAGCGTCTGAGAAATTTTACAACAAAAAAACACAATATCAAACCAACTTGATGCTCGCCAGCGAGAGACCACGATAATAAATGCAATGAACGAACGAACGACCGAACGAAGGAAGAGACTCAATGCGCAACCCACGACTCAAAAGCAAGAGAAGTAAACCAGCTAGTCAGAACACTGCACCAGGGTCAGGGCAGGAAGTACATAACTATAGGATTGCCATAATATCACATCACTCACCAGCCCCAGCCTAGCCCCTCAATTCCTCCATCAGGACAGGGTCCCCGCAGGAGTCTGTAATAGCCAAGGCGTTTCTTACTAGCCAGGAACAACGGCTGCACAACCCCTACCAAGAACCGTGGAGTGGGATCTAGGCAATACATTGTCGCAAAGTACTCCTTGCAGCCTAGTTTTCTCTTAAAAGGACGCATTAAGTATCGTTTACCTCTTCCGATTTTTCCGTGGTCACGGGCTGTTTGTGCAATGCACACACATGCACACTCCACATGCTCATTCTTGCTCTCGTGCGTAGCAACGATAACAGGGTGCGCAAGGCTGAACCCAAATTCCCCTTCAATGCAAACATACACACAGTCCGCGAACGTGCGAGGTGCGAGATAGATTACCCAAACTGCATCGTGCGTCGCAAAACGGTCCTCTAAGGTTCTCGGCCCTACAGCGCAGCAGCGCTACACCTGTCACTTCCCCGAAGGAGCAAAAATGGCGTGTGTATAATATTACAAAGTTACGGGTTGGGCGCAACGGCAAAGGGGGTGGGGGGAAAGGATGAGACACGACAAGTGTTTGAGGCACCAAAAGCGTCGGTGGTTTTCGTGCCTCAGGATTGTGCGCTAAACCGAGTTTAGCAACGGGGCTGAGACAGTTTGAGTAACCCCCCTACCCTTCCCCTTCTCTTGGCTTTTGAACTATCAAGTATGGGAGATGGTGATCCTTGTTTGTAACGGTATCAGCGATATCTCTCACCACCTCCGATCAAGCATGTCTGTGTTTGTGGATGGGAGTCGTGAGTCGTGAGGCTGAATATTGATAGCACCCCTGCCATACCACTTTGTGGCTATAGAGGTTTGTGTAGAATGTCGCTACTCGCGCGTCTTCGGGTTAGGCCTTTTTGCGAGAGAGCCAAGAGATAGGAGAGAGAGAGAGATGGGGGTGCGAGACGAGCCTAGAATAGCTGGGTAGTGTGTAGTTGGATTAGACGTCCAAGGGTGAACATGCGATGAAGACGTGAGATGACATGATTGACGAGCAAACCAAAATAAAACAAAGAGAACATATCGTGCTTATCGTATCTACGAGAAGTGTCAATTTTTGCCACCTCCACACATCGGCCCAGAGAAGTCTCGAAAAGAACGTGACATCTAACACTACCACCACCAGCATCACCACCAAGACAAACAATACCACCTCGCAATCTCCCCCTCCCACCCCGCCAAGCCCCCGCCATCCAGGCAAAACCTCGGAACCCCCAACCTGTCACTCCCTCAGTTCCCAAGGTCAATAACCCCCTTCTCCACCACCAACTAACCCTCATCAAACCTCAATGCAAACCATGCCAGCAAGAGAAAGAAAGAAAAAAAAGATGAAAAAGTCGCATCCTACCGGCCTTATCCAACTATCGAAATAGGATGCAAATTATGCCGAAGAAGACATGGCCGACTAGTCAGGTGTGTGCATCAGGCACGTGTATGCGCGCTGTTGACTTAGTCAGGCAAGTTGTGTTCGAAAAGTCGGCAGTCCGTAGTTCCAGGTTTTGAAAGGATCGACTCGACTCGACTCATTATCGGCTTTGCACCTTTCGCCCTGACACATCTGGATCACCATCACCCGGATAATCCACACCCCGAGAGAGAGAGATATGTATATATATAGTTATATGTAATGACTGGGATCTGTAATACCGACGACAGAAATACTAGGTCACCAAGCAATCTAGTTCAGACTGCAACGTTCACGTGTATCCATCTTCGTTCACTCAGATAAGAACAAAGATAAGAAAAAGCCAGAGAGATAAAAAAACCCTTATCGGTATTGATATAAATTCTTTTTCCTAACTCATAAAAAGAGAGAGACGTGTATATATATAAAAAAACGCTGGGTGAGGGAACATGGGGAGTAACAAAAGTCTGCCCTTTGAGTCGTCTGCCCTTTCAGTCTATAAAAAAAGGGTGTGTGTGTAAACCGTGATATCCAAAAGGAAAGAAGAACGAGAGAGAACCAAGAAAAAAAATGCAATATGGTTGTCCCCTCAATCGTTCCCCTCCCCCTCTCTTTCTTTTACTTCATACGACATTTCCTTATCAATTTTTTCAAAAACAGCCTTCTCTTCTGAGCAGGCCGTTTCCGCGAACGTCAGCTAGAAGGCTGAGAGGGAGGTGGTTGTTTCTTCTTGAGTGTGTTGCGACGCTGCTTCTTGTTGTCGGTGGTGCCGGCGTTGTGGCCCTCGCCGACGCCCTCGCCCGCTGATACGGCGCTGACGGCCTTGCTAGCGCCAACGGTGATGCCTTTGGCGCCGAACTTGCCCGCCATGCTTTTTGTGCTTTGCTGGCTGCCGATGCTGAGTCTCCTGGCGGGAGTGGGACTCGCAGGGGTGGTAGATTGAGAAGGGTCGGTGCCGGCGACTTCGTCGGAGGACCACCAGCCTTCGGGGCGAGAGGTTGAGGTTTGAGCTGTGGTCTGCGAATTTTCGGGCGAATCAAAAGTAAGTGAGACTCGGTTTGTCGGGGGTGGTGACATGATTCTGCTGCGGATGGATGGGAATATTTCCTCCGTATTCATCTTGTAGGCAGCTGGATAGGACATTCTCGATGCTATAACGGGGCTGGTAATCACCGAGGGACTGTCAGCTGAGGATGGGCCATGGTAGGAAATTGCTCGTCGGGTTGGGGGCGAGCCTCGCCTGGGTCGGAGAGTGGGTGAAGCTACCTTCCTTTCGTCTCCTACATCGTCGTATCCTTCTTGCTCGGGCAGAGTATCGATTCCTGGTAGGAGACTTCTATATGTGATTGGTGACCGTCGTTTCTCTTTAGTGCCGTTAGGAGTCTCGCTTTCCGTGACTGCAAATTTTTCCAGATACTCAAAAACATGTGGGAAGACCAGAGTGTTGACAGACTCTGCCCACAAAAAGTCCAGATGCTCGTAGTGGGGGATCTCCTTGGCGATTGTGTGAGAGGGGAGCTCCTTCAACATGATATTGATATCGACCAGACTATCCGACCCACCATAGACCAACACAATGGGTGTCTTGATATTCTTAGTGGGAAACTTGGCAACCTTGTAGTACTTGGATCGGTTGGAGATGATTGGGTTCGAGTCATCGTCGTCGTACATCTGGAACGTGCCGTTGCGGATGATTTGGAACCAATGGACCACACTCTTGGTCGAACTGTAAGAGTAAAGATGGGGATATGCGGCGAGCTTTTGCTCAGGCAGAATGTTATTAGCGGTCCATCCGAAAAGAAATCTCAAGGATTTGTCAATCACACGGACAAAAATAGGCGGATACAGAATAGACTGCCACATAGTTGTCGAAGGAAGGATGGATTTGCGACCAAACGCAAGGTACAGGATGTTCGGGGAGGCTTTTACAAAGGCGTCGACGATTCCAGATGCAACACCCTTGGGCGACATGGCTGGCGCCAGCGCAATGAAGACGTCAATCTTTTCGTTGAGCGTCGGGTGTATGGATAGCGTCGCAAAAGCCTGAGCGGTTCCCTGGGAGAAGCCAATGTACGACAGACACGGCTGGTGGGTCGTCTCGAGAATGTATGAAATCGAGTCGGGAATGTCGTGAAAGGCGAATTGGTCCATGCTGAAATTCCAGAAGCTGCTCGATGTCGGGGGCGTATGCACACTCTTCTTGGAGTACTTGTTGCCGCGATTGTTGCCGAGCCAGACGTCGTAGCCGCGCTCCACCAGCTCAAAGGGCAAGCATCGTTCCTTGGCCGTCAGGCACACCCACACCTCGCTATTCATCATGAGGCCATGGTGCAAGTAGACAACCTTCTTCTTCTGGCCCTTTGCGCGGTCGCGGGGGTTGACTCGCACATTTTCCTCGCCCCTTTTCCAGCCCAGGCGGTGCAGGCCCAGCAGATAGCCGTCGCCCGTCTGGACGATGTGCTCCTCGCATTCGTATCCGTAGAGCTGGCACAGCTCGGTAAAGTCGGAGGCATTGGCAATGGAGCTCCAGATGGCTTTTTTCTTGTCACGCGAGCGCTTAGACGAGGGCGAGGAGCAGTAGTCGAAGAGGCGACGGGTAAGGCGGTAGCAAAAGTTGATAATGGGGGTCGGCAGGGCGAGGGTGATGACGGCAATGAAGGACTCGAGGATGATGAGGGAGATGGACAGGAGCAAGGCAATGTACTCGCGGATGTGCAGGCGCGAGAGAAAGGGAATATGCAGCGCCATGGCGATGGCGGTGGCAGCGAGGTGCTTGGGGGGTGGGCCGAGAGAGACGAGACTGTTATGGCAACAGGTAAACCCTCAGTCGACTGCAACGCCAACGCATAGCCCCTCTCTGCGCGCGCCGGGGCCTGAGAAACGTCGAAGCTTGAGCCTGTCTGGGAAAGACGGTGGCCCAGCCATGGGAGTCCAGCCGTGTGTGATGGGGAAGAAAATGACGTTGACCGACACTACTGCACTGCCATGCCATTACTCTGCGCCCATGTTTGACATGTGACAGCCCATCTTGCCCAAGCCTGGCTAACGGCCGTCGGTACCGGGCCCGGCTGCCTCGCGCCGCGTCGACGCACATGGCCTGGATGCCACTGCTGCCGTGTGCTCCACTGCCATCACTCCACGTCGTTCGCTGTCGCCGCCGCATCTGCTGATAACCACGATGCCGCAGTCATGTAAAGACATCCGTATGGCCTCTTTCTCCTCGCCATGGTGAAACTTCGGGCGGCTAACGTACCCAATCGCAGGCGCCGCCCTGGCTTTTTGCCTCCAGAACAGCGACTGCATAATGGTTGAGCGGCACTCGCCCGGCGACTGTCTGCGCCCGCCCCTCAAATACACGCTCCCCACCCAGTGCCAGCAGCTCCAAAAGGGCTATGCAGAGTGCAAAAAAGGCATGATCGATATGCGCAAGCGGTTTCGTGGCAACAGGCCTATCGCTGTCCAGGGCCAATTGGAGACGGGCGCCTTTGGCCAGGGCCGTGCCGAGGCCGACGAGAAGGCAGGCACCATTGAAGAGAAGGGATACATGCTCTATGCTGGGCGGCCTTACAAGGACGTCAAGGAGACAAAGGGCGATGAGGATCCAGACAACAAAGGGCTGGAGCGGTAGTTGGGAGTTGTGCAAGGTGGTACACTTGGATGAAAAAAAAATGATCGCGTGCCTCGGTCGACGCTCAACACCACTCACGAAGGAACGAGAGCAAAACAGCATGGTTCGGCGTTATGAAGAGAGTTTGCCATTGCAGCTCTTCTTTGTATAGTAAATCTTTACATTGCGGCCAATACACCCCTCAACATACATATACACACAAATTGCGTGGAACATGGACGTGACAGTTGGGTCTCTAGATGATAAACGCGTATGCCCGGTCGAAGCAGCTATCCCATCCCGGTATCCCGCTCTTCCAGTACCTCTTCAACACTGCGCACGCCTTCAGCGGACAGCTCGTCCCCAGTAGCCTGCTAAGATCTCCCAGACTCGCCTCAATCCAGTCTTTTGTCGTCTCGCTGCGATGGATGCCCTCGACCCCTGCCACCGCTAGAGGCCAAACCATGTGCCTGGCCATCCTGGGATCCTGGAGCGCAATGTGCACACTGCTCAGAAGCACATTTCCCTTCTCTTCTTGCGCTTTCTGCAGCGACACGCTCGGCGGCAGCACGGTTAGCGATTGCAGAGACATGCTGCAGTAGAGTGACACAGCAGCCTGGTAAATCTGTCCCAGCAGCAGCCATTCCGAGTAGAGGGGTCCAGCCTGCGCCCAGTCCTCAGGAGAGAATGCATCAATACGAGCAATCAAGTCATGCGCCTCCAGAGAATGCGCTGGATCGGCATCGTATAACAACATGGCCGCGGATGCCTTGCTACGTAGCTGGCCAATCTGGAGTATCTCGATGTAGAGCTCCCGGGGACATAGTGTGTACGGGAAGATGAGATCGTAGACGCTGCTCAAGTCCTCTATAATCGTCCCGTTTGCTCCTGTAATATCAACTTGGTCCCACGATGGGCTGCACGTGTTGGCGAGCGAGATGATGCTAGACGCTTGCGTTAGCCAGTAAAGCTTGTGCACGGAGCCCAAGGTACCTACAGTAGGTATATCACTAGTGATGGCACTAGATGAGGGGCATCTTTCATGAGCTGCTTAGGTCCGCCCCGCAGGTCAATCAGCCGCTTCATCCCGTTGACATGTGAACGCCAGTCCGAGAAGCTAGGGTTTTGGAGCTATATCTAAGCATTAGCCCATGTCCCCCGCCATATACGCAAACCATGTTAATCAGCATACCTCCAGACACATGAACATCAGGATACTAGTGATGGTCATGTCCGAACACCTAGTCTTGTCTTGTGCAATGTACTCGCTCAGCGATCGCAAGGCGGCGCCTCGGTGGTGATATATTTTTGATCGGTTCATGCTCATGATTGTGCGATCGGCGCCAGATGGCTGCGTGTGGACAAAGTGATTGAGGGATATGCATACTAGCGTGTGGTGAATCGCTGGCGTGAGGAGATGCAGCACTTGAGGGGGGAAGACAACGATGGCGGGATTGGGTACCAGCTCCCCGTGGGCCTTGTACTGCGCTCGAATCCCGGCATTGTCTGGAGCTATGAGCTGCGTACCTTGATAATTAATTTTCGGATAACTATACACTTACAATACTGAACAGCCTGAACAATATCCGACGTCTCGTTGGCCAGATATGGGTAGTTTGGCACCTCGTACTTGTGCAGAACAACCACTAAGCGTTTCAAACGTCGAAGAGGGTCTCGCTTCGATCGCAGTATCTTTGCAGCTTCGTCATGCAATCCCTTCTCGACTACATCTTCAATCTTGGCCCTTCCCCAAGTCTTGAATATCCGAGCAGCCTCATTAGCGCAAGCCGTCATTTTGATTGCGGATACGTGCAGTTCCGACACGCTAACTTTAGGTACACCCTCCTGCTTCTCATAGAACGCAGTCAAAGCGTCCTCGTAGTCAACCGGCTCACAGATGTAATCGTTTTCGTACATGCGTCCGTAGAACTCCTGCTCAGATGTTCCATCATTCTGACACGAGATTTGCCGGTCCTGGCTCGACGTTGGAGTCGCAACGTATAGTTTTGGTGGGCTGTTATCTTTCTTCTTTCTCCGTCTTGAAGTCACCATGCCCGTCTGGACCCATTGGAGTGGTTTTGTATCGTCGTAGCCAGAGCATTGCCGTCCAGCTTTTTGGCACTTTCTACAGTGGGGTAGTGTGCAGTCACATACAAGGCGGCGTTTCAAGCATTCCCAGCATTGCCGAGTTGCTTTCGTTTCTCCCTTTTCGGGCAAGCCCATATTGACTCGACGAAGTGTTTTGTTTGCTATCGATGCAGGCGGAACACTGATGTCTCCAAGTGCGTGGCTGGCTTAGTCTGGACCTCGAGGTACCCGCACATGCAGTTGCGGCCGTTGCGACAAGGTTAAACTCCACGCAGCAGCGAGCATCTTTGCTCTCTTATTACCATAGAGAGTTGAATCTCATTTTTGTGGCTGAGAGATGCAATGCCCCGCCGAGGATGAGCACTGATAACTGGCCCCCAATCCTTGGCCATCGTTACTGCCGTATTGGGACTAGCCGCAATCTGCCTGCTTACGTGACAAGGGACCTTCTGCTTTGCTTCCATCGGTGACGCCGGTGGGGGCGGCTCTACTCACTCGCTGTGAGGCTGTTGGAACCCTAAGCACTTGCTGATTGCGTTCTACAACGGAAATCCGTAGGTAAGAAGCTGTGAATTTGTCGATCGCCAAGCCCATAGTGCAGTTGCTGATATCTATGTAGCCACTCAACGCTCGTGTCTCATGTCAACCTCCATCAATAGGAGCAAATGTGGAGTAGTCCCAAGCGCCATCTCTAAGCACTGGCGGGAGACGTCACAACGGACTTCCAAGTCAAGAAATAATAAACGACTCGCGTAGAGTTCGCTTCGTAGTCTTCAGTTCACTGAAAGGACGTCCTGCCTGTTTACCCGCGATTACAATTACGTCGAATTTACTACACAGCCGCACATGATCATCCTAACCTATTCAAGGAACAACTTTGCAACTACCATAAGGCTGCGAATTCATTGGTCGCAATTGCCTGAGCGTTGTACGCTCGTAGAATCCTTCGCACCTTTTCCGTCAGTCTTGGCCTGGCAATAAGCCTTTTTGAGAAAATACATAACAGCAGGGCTCTTATAGCGGCTGTCCACATGTTGAATATGTTACTCAGGATATAAGAACAATGAGGTTTGCTTAATCGTCAGTCTTGGCCCTTGTCAGCATTCGAGTCTTTCGTCCATTCTTACAATGAGCAACGGCGAGATAGTCCCGGGTAGTGTTTACCTCTATGACCCAGTCAATTGGGCTCCACCAATGTTCACAGCTTGGTTCGCGGTCGCTACAATTGCGCATGTGTGGCAATGTATCAAATACAAAGCATGGAGGGTCACAGGCCTTCATCCCGTGTGTGGCCTACTTTTCACCGCAGGGTTCGCCCTTCGATCCTACGGCGTAATTCATTACAAAGACGTCAATTTATCCATTGCGAGCACCACACTCATATACTGCGCTCCATAAGTGATAACTGATATTCGAGGAGGATCCTTCAAAGCTGACGCCATGAGACAGCCCCATCCTTGAGTTAGCCAACTACCACGTACTTGGTCGTATCCTTTACTACGTCCCGTACTACTCACCCCTCCATCCAAGCCGCACTCTGACTACCTTTGGCTTCGTGTCCAGCGTTGTCGAATTCCTTAATGCTATTGGTGTTGCCTGGCTGGTAAACCCAAACGTTCCTGAGTCATACATCAAGAGGGGAGGCGTCCTTTTGAAAGCATCACTCGTCTTGCAGGTTGGTGTAATTACCGTATTCTGCATCATCGCCGGCATCTTCCATGCACGATGCGTAAGGGGAAGCATCACCACGCGCAAGGTACGAGGCCCGCTCGTGACGCTGTACTTGAGCATGATGCTCCTCCTCCTTCGCACTGTTTACCGCATAATCGAACACTTTGGAACGACCGCCATCTATGAATACTCATCACCAGACTGGGATCCCAGGACACTCTCCCCCGTCTTAAGGTATGAGTGGTTCTTCTGGGTTTTCGAAGCAAGTCCCATGCTGGTAAACTCTATATTATGGAACTACCGACATCCACGTCACTATCTGCCGGAAGACTATCATGTATACGTGGCACAGAATGGTCGGACTGAGTTACAGGGCCCGGGTTGGAAGGACGATATGCCTTGGTGGATGACTTTTATTGACCCTTGCGGGCTGACGGCTTCATTGACTGGCAGTAAGAGAAAGGAGAAACCGTTTTGGGAAAATAACAGGTATCAAGCTATTGACCTCGATGAGGGTGGGGGCAACGATGCATCACAAAGCGCGAGCTCATTCTAGAAGGAAGGCGTTTGAAGATAAAGTCGTTAGAGGTTGTGAGATAGGACACTGAGCAAAGGCGTCTCGAGTAGTCTATGCTAGCTACGTCATAGATACCCTGCGTCACCGTGTTCGCTTCATATCTGATTATCCACCGCCCGTAAAGTCGATTACAGGTTCATTATATCGGTGCTGAAAGACATGATGCGAACAAAATGAAGCGCCTCGACGCGTAATACGTGTCGCGCGCTACATGACATCACGGAGACGTACCGAACCGCTTCCAGAACGCGCACCCTTTTCGTTCTCGCTCCTCAGTGCACCTCCCACTCACCTTCTTGTAAGCCATCCCACCCTTCTTTTGCCACAAGTGGCCATGGGTACGATCTTGGTTCCCTCCTACCATTGTTTCAATCGGTTGCGATATTCGCTCAACTGGTCCTCTGCATATTAGTACCACAACACTTCTTTCAATGCGCTGTTTCGATAGTATATTGAATCCAGCTTTTCATTTTCTTCAGCAGGGCTTGAAGGCCCTGCATATACTGGAGACTCTAGAAAACCAGCAGGACTCGATTGTCTCATCCAGAGTCGAAGTTGCACAAGCTGTGTTGAGTATTACAGCTCACGGCGCCGTCACATTAAGGTATTGGCCAAGATTGGCAGGGTAGTTGCGTCCCTGAAGACCTGTTCAAAACGTATTTGTAATCCAAGTCTTTGAATTGGCTCATAACCGAAGAACGACGGGTATCACCCAATGTAAGCTGACAAATCTTGTGAAAGTGCTTATTGCCCAAGGGCGTGACATTGGCGATTGACAACGAAAAGAGTAAGCAGTATAGGGACTGTGAAGGCAGGTTTCTGATGTCTCACGTCAACATAGTATGTAGAAATTGAATTAGAGACCATTACGGTTTCAACTGGAATGTCACATTCCGATTGCTGGTTCTGAGAATGAACGAAAAGTTTCCGCTGACACTGGGATACTCTGCAGACCGTCTTCCAATGCGCAACCCGGATCCTTTGAATCTTCCAGGCACTCTTGCTTCACGATATGTCCAGCGCTACACACCGTTCACCACCAGTTGTCTCATTCATGAGACTGACGCATTCATAATACTATGCAAAGACGTATACGAGTTCGTTTACATGTACCTACCAGCTGTGACCATGGTTAAGATCTGATTCAGTGGATGTTAAAGCGATTTCAGAACTCAGACACCCATACATGTGAAAGCATACAAAGACAGAGGAACCATTACTAACGTGTTCCTTAATATTAACTTTCTCGATCTCGATTTGGTCTAGCACGTTTGCCATCTCGTGAATGGAAGATCACAAGGCATACAACGTGGGTGAACTTCTGAAGCATGTCATCTCCATACTCGCAAAATATTGGAGGCATAGATTGATGCCCCTATTCAACTCGTCTTTGCCCTTCAATTCTGCATAGCGTTCTGATATTGACATCTATGAAGTCCCAAAATTGATGTAAGCATGCTAGAAATCAGTACGGTACCCCGAGCCCTGCAGCTAGTATTATCTAACATCATTTCATCAAACGCTACTTGACATAGATACATTGATCGAAAATGCGTCAATGATATGCGGCCCCTCAATAAATAATTGCTGGATAATCAATGGAAGACGCGTTTTCGATCCATACAAGACAAAATTACCCCTACCATCATGTAGGGGTCCCGGCACTTCCCAACTCTAGACTGTGTACCCGTCATCATTTCATACTGCCGAGCGAGGGTAGGAAGGCGATTTTGCCTTCTTTCTAACAGCTCGAAAAACTTATAAAGAGGCATACTTTCGCTTTCAAAGTCTATCCAGTCGCTCATCCTTTACCTTCTTCACCTCTGATACATTCGCTAATCTCGCACGATCACAGCCATGTCGGGCTGCTCGCTCGTGGCCTCTGCACTGCCATCTCTTATAGGGACGGCAGTTCCAACCTTCAGCTACGATCATTCCCAACATATAGTAGGCGATGTCTTCGGTATTCAAATGACTTACATGTCCGGCACATCAACATGTTTCGCTGGAACGAAGCCTACCTTCACGCCTGTCATCTCGAACACCTTAGCACAATATACTCGAACTTGTTCATACACTATCTCCGGCGCCCCTGCAACCTACACCGGTATCTTCTGTGGTAGTGCCGCTCTTACCGACTTCCCGAACAGTGGTGCTTTGACCATCAACAATGTTATAGGCGGTTTACTGCCACCTCCCCTTCCTCGCGCTTATACAGCCACATTCGGTACATCGCCCGCGCCCGCTACTGTCGCTACTGCAACAGCTTCTGTCACCACAACGACAACGCAAACTATCCTTGCACCTGGTGGCGTAGTTGTAGCTACGACGACCGTCTTTACTCCTACCGGAACAACTACACAGACACAGGCCGTTACTAGTGTTGCGCTGGCTACGAGTACCGTTAGTACTTGCCCAACGAGTGGAGGAGGAGCTCTTTTGCCTATAGCCTCGGCTATACCTTTGGTATCGAACGTGCCATTAGTATCGTCTTTGCCACTGGTATCGTCTGTATCGTTGATTCCATCTATACCTTTGCTCTCGTCTCTTCCGGTAGTGTCATCCCTGCCGCTAGTGTCGTCACTCCCATTGGTATCATCGCTCCCATTGGTATCCTCTTTGCCCTTGGTGTCATCTCTGCCCTTGGATACAGGCATTCTCTCGGCTCCTATTCCAGCCATCACATCGTTAGTTCTACAGCCATCTATACCGTTGGTCTCATCGCTACCGTTAGTGTCGTCTCTCCCGTTGGTGTCATCCCTACCGTTGGTTTCATCGCTGCCTTTGGTATCGTCTTTGCCATTGAATACAGGCATTCTTTCAGGTCCTCTTCCAGCCGTCACTTCCATTCTCTCGGCTCCTCTACCTGGAGTATCCTCTATTGTTCCTCTGGACCCTCTGGCCTCTCTACCAGCTATTTCGTCCATCTTATCAGCCCCAATTCCAGGAGTAACATCGATTCTATCAGCTCCATTGCCCGGAGTTACATCAATTCTGCCAGTTTCACTGCCAGGCCCAGACTCAGGCCCATTGCCACTTCCATTGCCAGGAGTATCCTCTATTCTGTCAGCTCCCTTACCTGAAGTTACGTCTATTTTATTTGCTCCCCTACCTGGAGTCACATCAATTCTGCCAGCTCCGCTACCAGGCCCAGATTCAGGCCCGTTGCCAGTCCCATTACCAGGGGTCTCCTCTATTCTATCTGTGCCCCTGCCTGGCGCTACCTCGATTTTGCCAGCCCCACTGCCCGGAATTACGTCGATTTTATCAGCCCCGCTTCCCGGGTTCTCCTCTATCATCCCTGGAGATCCTTTAGTATCTTTGCCAGCGGTCACATCCATCTTATCGGCTCCCCTACCCGGGATCACGTCCATTTTGTCAGCTCCGTTACCTGAGGTCACATCCATACTCTCAGCCCCTCTTTCTGGAGTCTCGTCTCTCGCTCCTCTTGATCCTCTGGCTTCTCTTCCCGGTATTTCGTCCATTTTATCAGCTCCGCTGCCTGGAATCACGTCTATCCTCTCAGCCCCTGTACCAGGAATCACATCTATTCTCTCCGCTCTTCTACCCGGTGTCACATCCATACTCTCGGCCCCTCTACCTGGAGTCTCCTCTCTTGTTCCTCTTGATCCCCTACCTGGGGTCTCGTCTATTATATCCGGTCCGCTGCCAGGGATCACATCCGTACTCTCGGCTCCTGTACCAGGGATTACATCTCTTGTCTCCGCTCCTCTTGATCCGCTAGCTTCTCTGCCGGCCGTCTCATCTATTCTATCGGCCCCTGTACTAGGCGTTACATCCATCATACCACCTCCTCTGCCTGGGATTTCCTCTATCATTCCTCTGGATCCTCTAGCTTCTCTTCCAGCCATCTCATCTATCCTCTCAGCCCCGCTTCCAGGCATTACTTCTCTCCTCTCGGCCCCTATACCTGGGGTCTCTTCTATTGTGCCTCTGGATCCCCTAGCGTCCCTACCAGTCGTCTCGTCTATTCTTTCGGCACCTCTGCCCGGAATCACGTCCATCCTATCAGGAATTTCTTCCATTGTGCCCGGGGACCCTCTGGCTTCTCTTCCAGCTGTTTCCTCTATTCTCTCGGCACCTTTGCCAGGTGTTACGTCCATTATACCAGCACCTCTACCTGGGGTCTCCTCGATCCTTTCAGCACCCCTGCCAGGTGTTACATCTATTCTACCAGGTGTTACATCTATTCTACCAGGGGTCTCTTCTATTGTACCAGTTCCCGTGCCAGGGATCTCATCCATCCTTTCGGCGCCTCTGCCAGGGGTCACTTCCATTCTCTCGGCTCTTCTACCTGATGTCACGTCCATCTTACCAGCGATTTCGTCAATCGTACCAGCCCCTCTACCCGGGGTCTCATCTATTATACCAGTTCCTGTACCAGAGATCTCATCCATCCTCTCAGCTCCTATACCAGCAGTCTCGTCTTTTCTCTCCGCTCCTCTACCAGGGGTCTCGTCTATCGTACCAGTCCCCGTGCCAGGGATCTCATCCATTATTCCATCTATAATTCCAACTGGTATTACATCCGTCATTCAGTCTCTTCCTATATTTTTACCCCCAGTCTCCGTCCCAACCCTCACTTCTTCCATCCTTCCCATTCCTCTCCCAAGTGGCACTGCTTTGATACCCTCTCTTAACCCCCCTATCATCTCTTCTCTGGTTCCGTCAGCTCTTACATCCGCTATCGCATCGGTCCCAGTCCTAAGCTCTTCTATCATCCCGTCAATCAACCCTTCTATGATCCCATCTTTGAGTGTATCCTTACCACTGTCTTCTATTCCCCTTGGTACAGCTTTATCATCGCTTTCAGGCTCACTACCTACACCCATCATATCAGTCCCTAGCTCAATTGGCCCCTTGCCAGTTCCAACCTCTATCGTCTCCATACCAAGCTCGATTGGTCCCCTTCTAATTCCGACTTCTATTCTCTCAATCCCGGGTTCGATCGGTTCCCTACCAATCGCAACATCTATCCTCTCGATACCGAGCTCGATTGGTCCTCTGCCAGTTCCAACATCGGTTGTCTCGATCCCCAGCTCGATTGGCTCATTAATAACTGGTCTTCCCTCGATTCCGAGCTCGATAGCCCCACTGCCGACTCCAGGCATCTCAGTGCCAACTTCTCTCCCATCAGTCCCGGGTTCTATTGATTCCCTGCCAGTTCCTACATCACTTGCATTAATTCCAAGCTCAATTGATTCATTACCAACTGTTCTTCCAACCATCCCGAGCTCGATCGGTTCTCTACCCGTCCCAACCTCTCTTATCCCGATTCCAAGCTCAATCGGTTCACTGCCAACTGTCCTTCCATCTATCCCGAGTTCGATCGGTTCCCTGCCAGTTCCAACGTCCCTTGTATCGATTCCAACTTCGATAATGTCCCTGCCAGTATCTTCTCTTAGTATAGGTGTACCGTCGATATCGGGCCCCATCTCATCCCTACCTACGAGCATTTTAATCCCAAGCTCGGTTGCTCTATCCTCGGCCCTTTCTTCAGCACCGCCGTCAATCCTCTCTTGTCCTGCCAACAGTGGGTCGACATACAGCACTTCCAGAGGTAACTTTGCCCTTGAATGTTACGTTGACTATTATGACTACGATCTTGGCATGGCACCCAACAACCCTACAAACTATGAGCAATGTATCCAGGCTTGTGCTGCCAATTCGTTGTGCCAAGCGGTTTCCTATCTGCCCAACGGCCCATGCTATCTGAAATACGGACTTGGACAGCCTTATGTCAACCCGGCTGTCTGGGGAGCTAGGCTTGCTAGTGTACCAGTTCCATCTACATTGCTGCCTCCAATTATCCCACCAGCTCAGTCTCCCGGAAGCATTGTTCATATCACAACAGCCCCCGGTTCTGTTGGAGGAACATTGACTACCAACCCAACGGTCCCAGGCTCTACTATGGCGACCCTGAGCACCATTCGTACCACGACTATGTCAGCAGTCGGTCCGACATCCAGCCCGGTATCTTGTCCCACGTCCAATCTATCAACTGTGATTGTTGGTGGAAGACAGTATCTGATAACCTGTGGCATTGATTACTTCGACAACGACATATCGTCTCCATTGTCCCCTACATTCCCTAAGTCGTACGAGGGCTGCTTGGCTGATTGTTCATCCACCTCTAGCTGTGCTGCAGTTGCCTACGTCAAAGGCGGTCCTTGCTACTTGAAGACTGGCACTGGCACTGGCTTCAAGATCGACAGCACAGTCATTGGCGCAAAGTTGATCGGAGTCTTACCTACTTCCACATCCGCACCCGCTACTTCCACTCCATCCGGAACAACTGTGACTGTGACCACGACAATCTCTAATACCGGTTACCAGTGCGCCTGCACTCCTACTTCGTTCCCTAAACCCACCCCCGTCACGTGCCCTGCAGATAACGGCAGCACATATACCACCACTTGCGGAGCTAAATACGCTGTAGAGTGTGCCCAAGACCGTTACGGCAACGATAGTAAGTGCCATGGTATGTAATGTTGATATGTTTTGCTAACGCTCATCGCAGTCCCCAATGGACTTTTCTTTGTGGACAGTTACGAAAGTTGCCTTGAAAAATGTGACCAGACGCCAGGCTGTGTTGCTATATCCTTCGTCCTGCGACCTCCTGGCGTCCACAGCCCTTGCTACACGAAGTATTCTACAGGCACTATCAGCCAGAATCCTGAGGTCAACGGTAGTAGCAAGATCTCCGGGTGCACAAGGCTTAAGTTGCGACGCAAGCGTGTTGTACAGCCCGCGCATAAGAAGCAGCTTAATAAGCGTCTATTGTACTTGGGTCCCGACTTCACTTTTACCCAGCCCCGTGTCACGGCCACGCAAACCTCCACAGTGGGCGCGACCGTTCTGACGTCAGTATTCTCCTCCCCTTCTTTGATATGACTATGCTGACCTGATCGTAGGACCTCTACACCCCTCTACGCTACCTCTACTGCGTTTAGCCCGACTCTGGCAACGGCCATCGCCACGTCTACTATAACTGTACGCAGCACGGTCGTCAACACTGTTAGCTTCTGTCCAGCTACTACCGGGGGTCTCCTCAGTCCCCTAGGTCTGCCGCTATGAGCGCTACATGTCATCTCTCCTTCTGAGTTCGAGGCAGTCCAGCCTCTTTAATTCTCGAATTCACCAGACTGAACTTACATCAAGGTCTTTCTTCGCAAGATCTGCCTTTTATCGTCGCTCCTTAGCACACGCTTTGCTTTCTCCTTAATTGTTCCTGCAGGCGTGTGGTAGTGTTATAGAAACAGTAGGATATTTAATAATAAAAAGTCTTTCTTTCCTTATTAAACCCGGGCTGCTTTTATCACGCTCCTTTCTATGTGGCTCGTCTCAACTTGGTATCGTTGATATCGCAGCTTCAGTTGCAAAAAAAGTTGCAAAAACAAAGTTCTTGTTGCTTTGCTTACTGCACGAGAACAGGCAGCAGCGTCAGGCAGCCAATCAAAACCTACACCGGGTACCGGCTTGCCCAAGTTAGTTGCCGCACCTCCCTAGACATGTTTCTGATTCCAAGGCAGCTGTCATGTTGATTGGATATCGTGAGCATACAGGCTGACATGTGGCAGTCGCTGGACGGAGATAATGCGGGCTGGATCCTTGCATTCACCTGTGCTAAGCACGGACCGCACCCATTGCCTCCCACACTAGGGCGCGATGTCAACATCATCGACCCTTGTCGGGCTCCCACAGACTGTCAGCTTTCCATCTATCATTTTATGTGTTGCCGTAGTGCTGATAATCTTCCAGACGCTTATGGATTAAAGAGGCTCTTGTCGTTTCTTTCCGGTAAGATACCGTACCACTCGTATTGCGCTACACGACTGGGGCCCCTAATTAGTGTTGGAACCGACTGCGATTCTGCAAATCATGGATTCTGTTGAGAAATCGCCTCTAGGATCCAGGGTAGAACCAAAAACCCCGCATTGCAGAGGGTCTCCTGTCTCTCGCATAGAGACTTTTCCACGCACACCCAGCAAGCCTAGAACCAAGCAGACCAAACTCGCGCTCGGGGATGAAACAGCGGACTTTGCAGTTATATGCGAGGGGACGCGGTATATGGCGCATAGGGCCATTTTGTCAGCCTCGTCACCTTACTTTGCGCGTATGTTCCGCTTCAGCGGCAGCGTAAGCCTCCCCTTTTCCCCAAATCCAGCTTTCCTTCATATCTAAACTGATTGAACAGGAGATCAGCAACAAGGAAGTCGACGTGTCAGATGTCGACGCGCTGTCCATGAAGCAAGTCTTGGATTACATGTACACAGGCATGTATGCGCTTCCGTGCGGCATCCTTATCCCAGCAACCGACTACTGCAAGCACAGCAGCTTGGCTCTCCTAGAGGGACCTGTTAGCAGTCCGAAGATCTTCAAGCGCAAGTGTCCTTGTGCTGGGAAGTGTCTTGCTCCTGCGCATCTCCTCATGCATGTGCACATCTACACGGTCGCAGACTATCTGGACATGTTTGTCCTTAAATCGTACGCACAACAGGGTGTGCAGGATGTGTTGCATGTTTATTGGCAGGATGAGAGCTTGGAGCTGGTCGATGCACTGGAAGAGGCGTTCACAGCTACACCGGATGATGATAGGGGGATGAGAGACACATTTGTGGATGCGCTGAAGGAACATCCGGGATTGGCAGTTGATGTTGGAGTCGTGAGAGCCTGGCTAGATGCGAATCCAGATGTAGATGAGAGTGTGAACTGGGGTTGAATTCAGAGATTGGCTGTAACGTGATAGGTGGATTGACCAAAGGCTGGTTTTGATACGTCCTGAACTGATGCATGGAAAAATCCAACATGCTATTCCAGCGACAATCGATCGTAAAAGCATCATTATAAGGATTTAACGCCAGACCGAACACCTGCTAGTGTTTTCAGTTAGTGGCTGACTTTATAACATTCTTGACATCTCATACCTTTTAGATGTATCAGTATTCAGCATCAAAAGAAGTTCTCGCAGTACGAACATAACATCCCCTGAGAGTTTGACTTAAAAGTGTCGACTTCCAGTTCAGTTAAGCATCTCTGCCCTGAGGAATAAAAGGGCCCAACATGATAGCACAAGCTGTCCGAGTCTCTTGGGCCAATCGTTGTGATCCGGGGGCTCCTATCCACCCGAAATCATCGATTCCACTAAGTTGGCTGCACCATGGGTTCACAGCTCTTGCTTTCGAACCCCAGGAAGGTGGTCGCAACTCCTCAATCGGCACGCAGTCCAGGACGCTTCACATACATTAATGCAATGGTCCTCGTCCCAATCGTCGAGATAATTCCACATCGTATTCATAGACCTAGCCTACGCACGATCAGTATCTTGAAATTCATCTAGGCGATCGTGTATGTTTGGGCAGCTTACTATATCTTGTGGTGAGGGCTTGCGAGGACCAACGTCCTCTTTCGGGGGCGGTAAGTGAGGACGCCGATCCTCAATGAGTATGGCGAAAGCATAGTAGACGCTATAGATAAGTAAAGCGGATAGAAATAGTACGAGCGAAATGTGTGCGACAAGATAGATCAGCTTCATTCCTGGTGATATGGCCGTATGTCAGTGGATTCTGTTGTTTGTGTTGCGCGGCTCTTTCTTCCCTTGCGGACGAGTGGAGCGCGCTAGTGGCCTAGCGTGTTCCTCAGTTGGCAGGAAACACTCTTGTTATTGCCACCTCACCATCAACATCTGGAGCATACTCCGCAGTCCATCTCCAAGCTTTTTGCAAACTACCACATGGAACCAATTCTGCATAGCAGTCTTGTCGTGGCCTTTGCTCAGTTTCTGCTACGTTGTTTCGCGCGAAATACAATGCTGGGTTGATTCTGCGCAAGTCTTCATGCGGCAGAACACCTCCTACTCAGTGATTGTTTCACGATATCTACCTGGTAAATATTCACCTCATGTAACTAATATATCAATGACACCCTGGCGGCGACCAGTCGTGTTTTTGGATAGTCATATCAACTTCGGGTCACCCAGCCGTTAGGCCATTGCGTCTAGTACATGTCTGAGTACTTTGACCTGAGCATCGTGGAACGAGACGACTTCGAAAATGAGCGGTCACAAAGCCAATATATTAAATCTCTGCTTATCAACGCAGAATCATGACCATAGAAGCTTCCATTGGTTTGGGCTATGGTTTCTTTTCTCACCAAGGTATCCCTTCTGTTCCCTATCATATGAACAGAGATGGCTGTTACAACAATACACGTGTGCCGGCAACTTCCTCTCAGATCGATCCGTGCGTCAGCCAAGCACGGAATGGTGACTCTCGATGTTAAAAACGTCTTGTGGGTCGGGCATAGCCCCTTCACTTCCAAGAACCAACGCCGTGAATACTCGGCCACGAATCACCTGATGAAATAGGTTCCCTAAGACTTTCGAGCATTTTTCAACAACCAAAGAGGAGCCTACCGGGCTGTAAGCTTGAAACGGATAGGCTCGGTAGTCTGAGTTGGCGGTAATCGCGGGCTACCGCGACTAATCATGCTTGTTATCCAATTGGGCTGGACAATATCGTAGACCAAGACGCGAAGTCTACCAAAATAGTATATGGTTCCTATTGGAAGCTATCAAACCTACAGATATAATGAGAGAGCATGATCGTCGTTTCGCCTCATGTCTAGCCTCGAAACAGCAAGGTCAGCACAGGCAGAACCAGTTTCCAAGAATGACGGATTGACAAAGGAGACTTTAAAACAACAACGCCGAGATACTACGACCGCTCCATGTGGAGTTGATAATGCATACGGAAAACGAATGTCGAGAAGACGGCATCCATCTACAACAAGTCTGAGTGTTAGATGCCCAACTGAGAATACCTGATATCGCGAGAGCAGAGTTGAGCACTGAATGAAGTGTGATAGATGCTAGTACGTAGGAATTGTGCTAATAGTGTGGTCTAGACCCTTACGGCCCATCGTACCATAATATTCTATTTACCGAATGTCTAATGAATCACCCCACTTGGAGCCGCCGTCTGACACCTGACAGTACAAAGGAGCTAGCCTCTTGTGGTTGACCAATACTTGCCATGCCGGAAGTACATTCCCCCCTGCGCGGTGGGTGACCGGAAGCAAACCTGGTGAGCGCTACGATCAAATGAGGTAACACAATAGCTGATTCTGAAATTCCGTGAAGAGTGAAAACAGATAGTAGGGCATCTGAAGCCAGTCCGACCGTGCAGAGTTGTTGCAAGAAGGGCAACAGGTGGTATTAGACTAATGCAGGTTAGGTAAGCGCACCCCCACTAAGTACTCTCATCCGCGCACCAAAGGGACATCCGGCCGGAACCAATCACAATCAATCAAGAAGAGATGGCCTTTCCAGAAGTTTCCGACCACGTCCGCTCCTCAGCTGGTCTGGCCCTCAACGACAGCAGACTACAAAAGCTGCGCACGGACGCTCAAGAACCGCCCCTCAGTAGCGGAGCTCCATCTTGGTTCTTCGATATCCAGATTGCTGCATCTCTTGAGTCTCCATTCTCACCACCAGAGAGAACCCATCTCCTACACTTTTACCTACCTTTTTCCAGCCTTATCGTTGTTGGCAAGCCCCAGAATCATCGCCTGTTCCCAGCAACGCTGCCATGGGTCTCCTCGATCTCCCGCCCGAGATCCTTGACCTGATCATCGACCGCACGGCACCCGATGGTCTGGAAAACTTCGTCCTCTCATGCCGTGCCGTTTACTCTCGCGCCGCATCACAAATTCAACGCCACAATTCTCTGAAAAGGACCTGGCGCCATATATCTAACTTAAGTACAACTCGGCTCCATGACACATTGGCTATCTTGCACGAGATATCACGTGAACCGATCATTGCTGAGTACATCGAGAGCTTGTTCTTGTGGGATCGCGGCTCAGAAGATGAGGTCATGGATGAAGATGCCGAGTATAGTTTCCGCGACGACGAAGAGGCAATGAAAGAGATTAAAAGCTTGCTGCGAAGGACCGAACTTTACGCCAATACCGACGAGAACGAATGGTGGAGCCAGATTCTGGAAGAGGATAGGACCCATAATGGATCCAAAGTCGACAAACTCTACGCAACTATTGCCTTGTTGAGTCTGTTGCCCAATCTCAAAGTGCTACAGCTACCAGACAGGTGGCATGAAACTCGAGAAGGTGAGGGCGCCGAGGATCTTGTTCCCCTTGTGCAGGCTTTGGTTTCCATGTCCAACGCCCCAGGGCATCGAAAAAAGCCTTTGGCGCAACTGGAGACCTTGTTACCATTCGTGGAGGAAGGATACGATATCAGAGTTGGTCTCCAGGTTATAGAGCCGCTCATGGTGTTGAAAAGTATTAGAAATATCTATGCAGTTAGCTGTACAGCTGTCGACGAAGGCTGGGGGGGTCCCGGGTTTCGCTGGCTAAATCCAAATGCGAAGTCGCCCCTGACACGGGTCGAGTTTGCAAGCTGTTGTATGAATGCAACTGGTCTCGCAGGTTTTCTGTCAAATGTACCAGCATTACAGGTGTTCAGATACTCACACCAAACCAAATGGCACGGTGTCCAATACGACTGGAACCCTGGAGAAATCCTAGAAACGCTCGCCAACTATTGCAGCGGGACCTTGGTTGACATTGCGATAACCATCGACGAACTGTTTGGTGAAATCATAAATGGTCTGTCTTCGTTTCTCCGCTTCACAAAACTAGAAAGATTAGAAGTTGATGTAGAATGTTTCTGCGGACCGCCACTGGAAAGCGGTCAGCGACAGGGCGCAGAAGCAAGAATTCCTGAAGGCGCCGTCGCATGGCGCCATGCAGACATACCGTGTATGGGTGACATGCTTCCCGACAGTATGCGAGAGCTCCATGTCAACACAAACTTCCCACAGCCATCTGAAGAGTCTCTCCTAGCTCTTTTCAAGAACATAGTAGCGCGACGGCAGGACAAGCTGCTAAATCTACACACGGCGGTCATCCGCCAGTACCGATCATCGAGTGCGAAGTACATTGCGGAAAACCACCAAGTTCTGATTGAAGTTTTCGACCAAGAAGTAGAGAACCCACGGCCGAGGTCCATGATGCCGCTCTGGAAGAGGGAATTTGACAGACGTGTGGGGGGTATTGTATCCTCCTAGTGGGCTTCTCGCGCTTCTCATGCTGCTCCTACACCAGCTTGAATTGGGTACCATCCTGGTCACATCGTGGCGCAGTCCTCGGTTCACGCTTCTCAAGCAGGGCGCATAGCTCTTATTCGGAGATTATCAAGACAGGTAGGGTCTGTGGAGCCCCACGACCTTAGCATATACAGGACATACTATGTAGATGCATACTTGTATTCAATGCCGATCCCATCCGGGCGCAGAGATATTACAGTATACATCGAATTCCATAAAGAGTCAGCATATTCTTGAGACAGAGTATACGAAACCGTAGAGAATTAATGGTGGCAGTCTTGCGTTACATCTGTGCAGCGTATATACAGCTGGCTACAGTTACGTCATCTCGGCAGTTCTGTTAGCGAAGCCACACCAGTGAGGGGGATGCAATCCCTCAAATGGGTGTTGATCACCCACAGGGTTGTTCTGAGATCCACAGCGGCCAGTTTGGCCGCCAATCAACTTCCTTGCACTACCGTCCTTTCGGTAGTGTAGATCCTAAAAAAGATATTTTCGGGAAAGTCACGGCCCGCCTTCGCTTAGTAGCTTTCACAACGTTAACTAGATCGGTGGGCATATATACTGGGTATTTGTCTCCTCAAAACGCTCAAGTCACATTTTGGGGGGGTTTCCCCCTTCTCCGCACAACTTTATTTCGAATACGAGAGAATAGTCATCATGCTCGTTTCTTGGAACACATGCGGACATGAGGAAACTCAGCCGAGTTGTCAACCGAGAGAGCGCGATCAGGAACGCCTTAGACGATCCAACATCGATTGCTTTAACATAATTTGCTCCAAGTCAACCTTGCCCACCAGAAGCTTCATTTTCGCAATGTCATTTTTATGAGCTGCATACATCACTTTTGCAATACATACTCGATACGTGTCAAGATCCAAGTTTCATTTGATGATGTGAAATGCAGGGTAGAAAGACGTGTAATGAATCAAGCACTGAAGTTGCACCAAACTGTGGGCTTCACAGTATCATGTACAATTCTTTGAAGCCAAAAACGTACATCAGGGTTATGAACAGACTGACCATTGTCAGAGATCAAGCTAACGGTTCAACTTGCTGAATCATGAACACCGAAGTACATCACACGCTCTGCGATAACAGGTGCCTTGGTTGCCCCGCATGTGGCCCGAGCAGAGGAATTGCCAATTGTTTTGCTTTCCTTAACGAATCTTGGCTGTACGCCCGAACCATGGATTGTAAAGTGGTGGAGGGATTGATCACAACATAAATCTCCAGGGAAAGCACGCGAAACACGGACATGGTACCAGAATACTATGTACTTATTCTATGACGTTCGGGCGGAATTTGAGTATTCAGTCGATTAGTTGTTGAAGCTGTGTGGGTTCCATATGCCAGTCATGTTATTGGCCAACATTGATTTCCGAAAGGGCCTTTCAACCCCATCACTATTCGAAAAACACTACACCCTCGATCATATCTCAACCATGGTTAAAGGAATGCCCGTCCTCCGAATGTAAGTATGATATGTACTCCCTTTTTTTGTATTCGCGTAACTTCCCCTTGCTTTGTTCATTGTCATATAAAAAGACCGAAAGCCCTTTGGAAGTCTTTTCAAACCTCCCTAGATCTTTCTCCACAGCCAATCTGAGAGGCATCAAAAGATCAGAACAACACCGCCAAGATGGAGCTCAAAAGCCTTCTTCTTCTGACTCTCCTCTCTCTTGCTTCAGCAACCCCCGCACTTCCAATTGTCAAATCATTCGCCCCTTCCAAGGTCGTTCCCCGAGAAGCCAAACTGAAAATGCCCTATCCCACAACATTCTACGACCTACCTACAGGCGATCCGAGAAGCGTCCCACTGCCTACGGGCGAACTGGGAAGCCCACCGCCTCCATGGCGGCACGAACACGGAGTAGGTGTGTACAAGGACCCTAATCAAATCGCTCCGCTGTGGTATTCTGAGAGCGAAGAGGGTTGGGGTTGGATATACCCCCTTAATCCAGGAGGCCCAAACACTGAAGATCCCGCTCCTACCAAAACCATGAAGGTTGTACCCAGGATCGAGGTCGCGACACCGACGCCGACGGTACTGCGTGATGATACTGGTTTTGACGTTCCTCTCGGTGGTGTAAGCACCCAGTTGCGTAATGAAGGAGAGATATTGGCCTGTTGGAACACTTGCAGTCAGTTCGGGCACGAGGCGTGTGAACGGTGCGACCAAAAGTTGCGGCTCGGAGGACTGATTCCTTCCACTCAGCCGGCTCGATATGATCCTTGGGGCTGGAGTCCGAAACAAGCTCGGGACTCTGTTGATACGGCTGCAGTGTCAATGGCTTTCCAGATGCTCTGGAAGTGCGCAATAAATTGCATGCGCGACGGCGCTACACCATGTACGACCTGCGATGCGCTCTGGGACGAGTCCCAGAAAATGGTATCCTCCCGTGGATTCAAGGAGGAACTCAATTTCTGGGTGTGTGTGCGAGATTGCTCTCGTGACAGGCTGATATCTTGTATGGAATGCGAGCCAGCCTGGCGCAAGCAACTGGCAATGATAACGCCCAATTACATGTCAGTTGAACAAGCAGCGGCATCCGCTGATATCTGGAACTGTGCGGTACACTGCGATAAAGACAGGATGCAGAAAATGTGCACGCCGTGCGACGAACTCTGGAGAAAATGGGATGCAGGACTACCGCCCTTTGGACCCGAACGGACTGGTCTTATTACCGCCGGAGATGATGACGGATCTCCATCAAATCCCAATCCCGAAGACCTCGCAGTCAGGTTTCGTATGAGTGCATGCATGAAAGGATGTAAGCCAGCCAACGAAACCAGACCCACCAGCTATTGCAAATACTGCGAGACACTCGTAAGATCCGCCTCACTACTGGAGCCACGTCCCTGGATCCGTCGAAGCATTTCTGCTGAGCCCAGCAAGACAATCGCAAAGCGCCTGCTATACGTCTGGGACCCGGTCACCGGCGTCTTTAAGTGCTCAGAACAGTGCGCCAAGGGCAAAGATTATTACGAATCGTGTCTCCCTTGCCTGTACGAAAAGGGCGTCCCTGTTGACGGTGAATCATACCAGATTATCCAAGCAGAGGTCGTCAATACTAGTCCTGAGCAGAAATCCGGACGTCCAAGTCCGGCATGAGGCCAAAAAAACACCCGAAGCCCACAGAGCTGGCGTTCCACAAGACGGCCATGGCAAATTTCATATTCGTATGCTACCTTAGGTATGACTAGTATTTCCAGTATTATGATAGTTGTATGCAGTGTAATACGCTTCTCAAAGAGAACGTTGTCCATGTCGTGCCTTAGGTTTGGAGTTTTCCGTAGAAAAGTAGTTGCAAAGACTCGGGTGGTAATGCCAGATGGGGTTAAGAATGTGTTAGTAGTCGTATTTCTGATTTTCCATTAGAATTTACTGTCGTGATAATATATCTCTTGCGACACGAACATTCCGCGATTCTTTCTTAGAGAGAAATTCCTTGCAGTGAATGTACTACTGGAGTGATGAATGCAGGTACTTTGAAATAGTAAGGACGAGCTGAAGTTGGCATTGTGACAAGCGGGTAGGAGCACTCACATATCCTATCACTTGACACGTTCTCGATTGTTGCTTACATCGTTCTTGGTATCTGCACTACGGTGATGCCTTAGATTACAAGCCACGCCTACTTACAACTTCGCTTTTTCCACATCTAATACGTCCTTGAGTGGTTGCATCAAGTTATTTACAGAGACCTCATCAACTTCTTGACCAGTGCCCATACCTGCTGGCTGTTCTATGCCCCACTCTGGGATCAGTCCTGTGCCAGCAAGGGTGAGCTCTAGCATGCTTCCACACGGATATTCCTTCTTCTGCAAGAGTTCTAAGAGATGCTTCGCACACGTATCTGGTGTCAGTGCTGCGTCTGGGATGAGAGAGAATTGCTTCATCTTTGTGGCGTCGAACATTGGTGTCAGTACGGCGCCAGGGCAGAGAGCGGTAATTTTGACTCCAGTCAGGGGCTCACTAGTTGCCAGAGACTTTACGAATCCGATGATTGCGTGTTTGGTTGCGCAATATAGGGGTGCTGCTAGGTTGCCACCGATGCCCGCAAGAGACGCCTGCGATGCGTTAATCTCATGTCTACTCGGGCCGCTCTCAAATTGACAACGGCTCAATCTTGTCAGCGAAACTCACGATGATGCAAACACTTGCCCGCTTTCCTTTTCCCAAGCTCTTTCTTATCGCCAACCTCGTCAACTTGATCGGGTGATTTACATTGACACCAACCTGCATGTACCCCTCATCTTTTTCTGGGTCCTTCCAGAAATTGGAAAATTCAGGTTCGAAGAGGCCGGCGCAGATGGCATATGCATCTGGGACATCGTTCCATTTCTTTTCGCACACATCGAAGAGGTTGTCGAAGTCCGACCAGCGCGTCACGTCGGCTTGGACATAGACGATGTTGTCCTTGCTGGCTGCGAAGCTGTCGAAGTCGGGTGTTGTTTTGAGGTCCGCGACGAGGACTCGTGCACCAAGTTCATAAGCTTGTTTCACCACGCCAAAACCAATGCCTTGATACAATGAGATCTAGGTATGACCATTTGGGCTATAATGCATACCTGATGCGCCTCCAGTGACGAGCAGGATCCCGTTGTTCAGTGGTTGATCGATTGATGCCATGTCAGATTTGTTTTCTTAGTTGAATACTCAGGTTACTGATCAAATTCTAACATATTATTTGGGAAGACTATGAATTTCGGATATCGATTACATTCTGCAGATGTTTTGTTGTCAGATGTCGGGTAACAGCTTCCGAGCGGAGGTCCGGAGAAGGCGGAGTCCAATTCTGAGAGGGGTACATGACCGCCAAACGGGACGGAGCAGCTATTACCGACGTTCTGAAGACAGGCGAGATGGGGACTTGACTAGTAGCAGTGTGGCCAAGGATATACGCTACTAAACAGCGATCTGGCAATCAGGTTGAGTGCCAAGTCACAGCTACATACTCGCGCACGTATACGTTCTGCATTACTCTACTGGGTTTGGTAGTATGGTACCAATCTTCCTGATGGATACATAGTTGAAAATGGAGTGGTGGGGTTGGCAAATTGCAGGTAGACTGATTATGGATTGCAGATCGTTGATATCGGGGTCCTTTTCAATGTAGACGCATACGAACAAAGAAGATGTAGCCGCATGTGCATCTCCAATGTAATCGCTATAGGCAGATGAAACCATGAACTGTCAACCTAAATTACATACTCGGGCCCAATGGTTCGTTCCGAAAATTTCAAGAAATTGCCCGCGCGTTGCACGGGCCACCCACCCCAAGGGAAATACCCACCCCAAGGGCATCACTTAGATACAACATAATACCAACCCTACTATAATATTAGATAATTAGAATCTATTTTAGTAAAAAGTTTTATAATATGCTAAAGAGTAATTCTTCAGCTTTAAAGTATAGAAAAGAGGTGGCGTTATATAAAGAGCACGCGGCAAAGCTTTATAGTTACCTTAAGCTAAATATTAGCTCTTATGTAAAAACCTATAACTTAAGCTATAAACGTCTTCTCCGCGCCTATAAGAACGCGCCTACGCGTAGCGATAAAAAGCTAACTAATTACTAGCTGAATGATGCCTAAGATGTTACACGGGGTTGGGTGCTGATACTTCTCTAAGCTCGATCCGGGTTAGGGCGAGTAAGGATATGTGAATAGCGCCGTGAGGTAGTTGTCTGGCGATGCAGTGGAGTGGGCGTGCTTGTAAGATAGATAACAATAGGTTTAACAATTCCTAATCTATATCGAATAGACTAACAAGTATCAATCTTGTGAAGTTAAGTAACTAGTAAGAAAGTACAATTTGAGTTAACCACAACGAGAGTAATAATGAAATCTATCCATCCTTATATCCTCATTGCTTCTAGTCCTGACATCTGTGGCATCTTCGAAGTGCCCCGGCATCCGGAGATGTTCGAGATGTCCTGGCATCTCGAGATGTCCTGGTATCTGTCTTCTTGGCGCGATGCCCAGTCTTGGCGAGATGCCAGATCACATAATTCTCGCCCCGCGATGATTATTACCTTCTGACGTGGACGTCCATAGGCTCCTTGCCTTCCATCCTTCGTTAAGAAGAGAATCCTTCTTGTTACTTATAACATTATCCCCCCTCTTAGGCGTATTGTCCCGATACCCTGGATTATCGTTTTGCCATACCGCGTGTTAAATCGCTAGCTGTATATAAGGTTGGTAGGCCCTAGGCCATTATAACTATCCCTTTCTAACTCTAGCCTTCCTAACTATGCCTAAGGTCTAAAAGCCCTATACTCCCCGTGCCCAGACTTCAACTAAACAGAAACGTGCTTATGCTGCGCGAGCGGAAGAGAAGGGTCTTAAAATAGATTTTCGTTGTAAGCGTTATGAGGAGAAGAAGCTTCATTACTTCGTTAAAACGTCTTCTAGCCGTTATGCTAGGTGCATCTTAGTTAGTGCTAAGTATAGTTTGTTTATTTCTAAAAAAGAGTAGGAAGAAGTACAGGCTAAGCAGGAGCGCAAGGAATTGGAGGTTGCTCAAGCTAAAGAGCGTCAGGCTCTAGCTGCTGCTAAGGCGTCTCGCCTGCGCCGTAAACTTCTAGAGGTAAAGAATAGAAAGCGTGCCTTTACGCGTTATAATCTTGCGATAATTGCTGTCTAAGATCGTACGAAGGAGCAGGCCGAGAGGAGCTCAGCCCCTAGTAGTACGGGCCTTCCTATTGTTAAACCATCGCTATCTGGACCGTTAACTAACCTAGACTAGTTACAGGCTGATTTCTATAATCCTTCTTTTAACTATTCCTTTCTCTTCCCTAAGGGTTTACCCCTCGCTTCTCCAGGTGCTTCCAGTAGTATTCACGTACCAGTAACTTATAGTTCGTCAGATTTCCTTTAAGTTCCTAAGTGTTATAGCTCTTAGGCCATCCTTGCCACTTAACTAAGTACTTCTACTAACTACCGATTTTCTATAGGTCCTTAATTCCCTCAACCTCATACTCGTCGTCTTCGAGCTCTATATCCGTTGCTAGCTTAGTATCTAAAGATGCTAGTGTAAAGGGCTGCGCCCGTGATCTCTACTGAAGAGGATCACGTGATCTTCGACCACGTGATATACCTTCTGTACGGACACGTGATCAGAAGCGAGCAGGTATAAGAGAAGTCTGTACTTAGTTATCTTCTCTTTTTTCTTATCTTTTAGCTTCTGTACGATAGGTAGAAGCATACTCATTCGCTAGGCCTCTCCGCCCATAACAGCTAGTTCTAGAAGTTTCTTATAAAAGACAGGGTAAATTCGCATGCCTTATAGAAGTTTTAACTTATAGTTTACTTTTCCTATTTCCTCTAGAATTTCGAATAGTCTTATTTAGAGGTTGTCTAATTTTCTGCATAGTCGTTTAGTTTTTAGGTTTTATCTTAATAAGAAAACTTTATCCCTCTTCTTAAAAGTTAGTCCCTTAATCCTTAGTTTATTCACTATTTTAGATGTCGTAAGGTTCCGTTAAGCTATATTCTTACTTAATTCTTCGTGCAATTCTCATATAAGCTTCGCCTTATTATCTACCCCTACTGCGATACTTTCGATATCCTTCAGATCTTAGTAAGCGATTAGCTTAACGTCAAGGATCAGTCATCCGGCCAGATCAGTCATCCGGCCACCCCACCAAACCTAACCCAACGCTCCACACAACCATCACAATGCCGCGACAACAGCGCTCTTTATCGCCTCAAAGGCAAGGTAGAATTTCTCTTGCATCACAATCAATTCAAAAACAGCAAATAAAAAGCCAACGTAAAGCTGCAAGGCTATTTAATATCCCTCGTTCAACACTTTACGACCGCCTTCAAGGTAGCCAGCCTCAAGCTCTTGCCAATGCCAAAAAAAGAAAGCTATCACCTACTGAAGAGCAGTCTCTCGTACAGTGGATCCTAGACCTAGATAGGCGTGGTTTTCCACCCCATATTATTGACGTACGACGGATGGCAGACGCGTTGCTCGCCGCGCGTGGCCAAGATCCACCTTCTACACCCGTAGGCAAGAAATGGGTATCGCGCTTTATCCAGAGCCAGCCAGAGCTTCAGACGAAGTGGAGTAGAAAGGCTTAATAGCCAGCGCGCTCTCTCTAAAGATCCTGTCGCAATCGCAGCGTGATTAAGCTAGTAGAGGAGATCCGCCAGACGTACGGCGTGCTAGACCAGGATATCTACAACTTTGACGAGACTGGGTTC